TGAACCTTCTGTCGAGCCCTCAAAGAAAACGCGTTCTGGACGAGACGTGAGATTCCCAGGGTATCTTCGCACTTGTATCACATAACTAAGTGGTGCGATTCCCCCAACTCTTATTCATTCGTGGTATTTATTATTTTTTTCCTTTCAGACACATCAATTTTTTTTATATTGCATCCCTCAACACAAGTAAAAAGCTCTTCTATAACCGTACATGTTACATCCACTGAAAAAAACTAGATATATACTTAATTTTCGATGTCCTAATTTTCGAATTATTCTACTGTATGGTAGATGCATATCACTTTTCAAACGTTATTTTTGGTACATCTTCCCCAACAAGGTTCTTAGCATTCTTGTTTTCTTTTCCAGGTGCGACGGGCACTGGACAAGAAGCAAACGAAGCACGAGATCCAACGGACAAACATCAACGAAGCGATGTACAGACACCCTATCAGCATAGGTAGACAACCAGTAGGCACTCCACCAAGCCGTTCGGAAGAGTTTTTTTTTACTTCCGGCTGGTTCTGTCTTAGGGTCCTCACAACTCCCCTAGGGTGTGGGAGTGAGCTGTGGCGGTAAATAATTCCTCAAAATTATTGACCACAGCACTCATCACTGAACATTGGATGCTGATCCTCACCGTTAAAGTCAATTTGTTTAGCTGAAGGCTTCCGGTCAAGCATCCACGCCATTTGGCACTCCGTTGTGTCACGTTCGTGCACGATCACTAGCCAGCTAAGCAATCATCTCGCACTCCGATTTGGTCCCGAAATATATCTCGTAATTTGGACGATCAAATATCGTGTTTTGCTTTGCCTTTGGTCCACGCGGAACGAATACTATAGAAGTTGTGGGTATTAGATCTTGCGTTAGTATACTTCGTACTATCCGTGAACGTCAATACCGTCAGCCTCTGAACATCTGTCTACATGATAACTTCTGTTCCTACAGAAGGTTCTGTGAGCATTTGCATTCTTTTGTCAAATGGTAGTGTTCTTCACATGAAAATAGACACATTGATATCCTGAGAGACGTGAAGTCTTCATTGAATGATAGATACTATGTCGAAAGCTGCAGCTTCTACATACATACAGTAAACTATTTGTGTAGATGACATTACCCTCCAACTATCCCAACTATCTTCCTCATTTCTGCGATATTTTCACACAGTCCACCTGAAACACTAATCACTGCAACCAATCTGGTCAGAGTGTGTCGCAGTCAGATTACATGACGCGGACACCAACATAACTAGCAGGGAAATGAGAATTCCCTACAACCCAGAAAACCATTCAGTGAAAATTATTGGCAAAAGAGGAAATTAGCGAGCGAAATTTCAACCAACATGCAGGATAAATCCAGCCGTATATAACATCAGCCAGCACACATATACAATCACTTGATCTTTACAATATATAATGAGCAGGCTACGTAGTGAAAAATTTAGGTCGTTCCATTTAAGACACATATTTCAGAATGGAAGTCAAACTGAAACGCATCCACACATCAAACTAGAGATCGAACGAAGATGCATGACAAATTGGCCCGGCCACTTGAGAGTGTTTCTCTAGTATATAAAGAGCACAAAATGATGGGTGATGATGAAGTTGTAAGCCGCAAAATTAATGTGATCATTGGGCGCTACAATTCACTGCTGTAGTAGTATTCCGAGGCTCCTGAATCTATAGCAGCCTGCCTGATACAGAAACCTAATAGTTGTACCACTGACAGAACCTTTCTGGTAGATGTGTTGGTGACGAACTGCCACCTGACTGCTTGCGCACCCTAAGAAGGTCTATTAGGATGTGTTGTTAAAACGTCTGCGCTTCCCCCGCTCGTTACCGGTTGCTTGACGTCTCTGCAAGATATTATAGGAAAGCTAATAGACTGATCATAGATTTTCGGAAGTGCTCAGATCCGCCGAGGTTAAACGTCGAGAAAGAGGTATTCAATTTATAAGACGACAGCTGTTACAATAAACTGATGGAATGCAAATGATATTGGTTTCAGAGGACTGTGGCCTCATAACTACGCCTTGATCTATGTGCTGAGTTCAAAAAAGCGGTGATACGGAAGCTCTTCATTGAAACTCATAGAGGATCAGGAGTTATTCTTCAACCGAGAGAAGCGTACATTAACAAATCTGTATGTGCTGACTCATTTTCACAAATATATTGGATATAAGAAGACATATCTGTGCTATAAAAAGGCAGACTATATCGAAATTCGGAGCTTTTGCCCGATGCAGAATGGCTGTTAGCAAGGGATGAGTCATCTGTTGATAAACACTGGGAAGTGGTGGAAGTTATTATTCACACAGCAATTTCAGATACCGTCCTTTTTGTTAATACATATATATACATATATATATATATATACATATATATATATACATATATATATATATATATATATTCATACAGATTCAGAACAAGATAGAGCGAACAATTGCGGTTTCAATAAATTCTTCTGCTTTAGGCTCTACAATTATAAATCCATTAATTTAAGCATACAATAACCAGCCAGTCAGTAAAGGCAAATTATAATCATATCAGAAAGTGCCATTTTAGCCGACTTAGTAGATACTGGACACCAGATAAAACTTGACCAGGCCTTCAGAGTTATTTACCGCATTCCTAGTAATTTATCTAGAGGAGCTCGACTACGTCTTTTATCAGTAGCTGAAGCGGTTGCAATTAATACTAGAAGATCATCTCTTTGTATACGGAAGAAGTATGTTCAACCTCTATGTTTACCTTGGCCTACAACAAAGCCAACAAATCCTCCATAAATATTAGCACTATAAATTCCTTTCACAATTTCCTTCTTCTATTCCTCTGTTTCATTGACAAACGTTCATTTTCGACTTTTATGATTTCATGACCTTTCTTATGATTTTATTACCTTAGATTAATGTAGTGCTTTTCTAACTTGCTATCGTATTTACAAAATCCTGTTCATTCCACTCCATTATATTCATTATCATTATTATTATTTGACAATCATCCACCCATAGTACTTAGTTTTTATTATTTTTTTTGATCACAGCTTGATTCCGCACCGTATTTTTTTGTACAGGTATAGAATTTTGCAGGTCGACCATAGATATCAGGTGTGCTTCAGCAGGGGATTGAACCCCGGACCATGTGCATGGTCGGCGAGAGTCCTAACCACTGTGCCACCGACGCACAATTTTACACCGTATTGTCGTTGTTATCTTACAATCATTCTTATTAGCGTTATTTTTAACCTTGAACTTATATCTAGACCGCCCCATTCGTTGGTTTATTATTTTCATTTTGTCTCACATAGCCTGATTACACTCACTATCGAAACCTGTATTTTCTGTTGACTATATTTATACGTATATATACACACACATCATTAAATTAAATTACTTCATCTCATTTTGTACCATGTTCTCATTGACCACGCATATTAAAAAAACTGACTGACTATCTGATAGTGTGAAATATTCCCATTTCGCATGAATTAAAAGTCAATCTGAACGAAGAACATTCTTTTCAGTAATTTCTCTTCAGGTTCTTACAATTATAAAATATAATATATTTGTTGTCGTTACAATAATGATAGCCAGTTAGTTATGCGGCGGATATATTTTATTAACGTAGAATAACAGATTAGTTATGTATGGGGTGTCAAAATAAATAGTCGTATTTGTATGACAAACGTGCTAGGCTGAAATCGATTACAAAATTTTGTAAAACGGGAGACAATGGCGGTGATTAATCATAATAGATTTGGGGAATGTGGGGTAGGAGAATTGACAAGTAAGTCAGTTCAAGGTTACTGAAGGTATCAGGTGAGTGAGTGGCTAGTACAAAGTGGTCTGTGTTAAACAGGAGACGACAACAAATATTATATTTTATAATTGTAAGAACCTGAAGAGGAGAAATTATTGAAAAGAATATTCTTCGTTCAGATTGACTTTTAACTGACTATTGTTACATCCCATCCCATCTTATACTTGTTCCACAATACACTTTCTGATATGGCTCAAATTTGCCTTTACTGACTGGCTGGCTATTATATGCTTAAATTAATGGATTTATAATTATAGAGCCTAAAGAAGAAGAATTAATTGAAAGCGGCAATTGTTCGCTCTAACTATTTTGTTCTGAATAAATTATGGGAATATTCAATTAATATATACTTATAGATGTTTGTAATTGTATGAGTTGTGTCACAATAACACCAGCTTTCATTCCTAATATATAGTACATTGATGAATATTATTCACTTGGTGATAACGTTAACAGATTATTATTGCTCACCGCTTCTAATAGATGGTCAATTATATTTGTTCAAATTGATACTTATTGGTCGTGACATTGTTCATGTGTTTGTATTTATTAAACTTTAAGAAGGAATTGTATAAGTGACAATGTTTGTAGAGTATTCAGTTGACAAGTTCTCTCTGAACAGGATGAATATATTAAATGCAGCTTTTTTCACAGTTGTTGTTTGAATTTACTAGGGGAACGAAATGTTTTGAGTGCTAATGTCTGTCAACTTTTGAGTTGTTCCTTATTGGTTGGTGAACTAAGAAATAAGAGATTTTTGCACGATTGACACACCTCTGTCGATGTAACCACCTAATGTAACTGAAAGTGTTGAAATTTAATGTAGTGTTTACCTTAGCGTACCTTATTCATATGTTTAACTGGAATCCTCCTAGTCACTATGAAAGAGATCGTCAAATAGCCTAAGTCTGTTTTCGCAACTAAACCAACCAGCTCAAAGAACACTAATTATTGCAAGCCTAAGTCTATTTATGGCTTCTATCGAGTATCTATTTTTACGTTGTGCCTAGAGCAAATCTGTCTCCAGTAGAAGTTTACACTGAGACCATGTGATAAAACGCTTCGTTTGTTTTCCCCTTGAATGTATATATGTGTGCCGCTTTACTAATAACTCACTCATCACCTATACTCCATCTCTATTCCTCTTTTTGCTTATCCTACTACTACTACTACTAGACAAGAACACAACAGTGTGCTTCTGAATGTGCTAATCGAGCCCGTGACAAACTAAGCACAGATGCAAGTGAATCGCAAATGAAAGCTGCTCAACGTGAAGTATTGACATGCTCTCAAGCATGTGTAGACAATCAGCTGGCAAGTGGACTACCAGCTCTTATTACTCGGTTGAAAGAACAACTGCAAAAGTTGAAGCAGGATGAAGTTGGAATTGTTAGTTGATTTATATATACAAAGATAAATTCTATTTATATAAATATTAGTGTGTAAATAGCATTACTCTTGACTGATTAGCTACCGTACAAATACATCTTTTTTTAAACATACTAAATTGACTTATGGTTTACGTTGTGTATTGTCAAAACAACAAGGATATACGGCAGTGCGATGTCCTGCTTCTGCTCTTTCTTTATGGCTGTGAGACTGGCTATTGAAAGGGGAAAATATGAGAAAGGGTAGCTGTCTTTCACCATGGACCTCTGTGTTTTACATGCCTTGTTAAGCGGGTATAACATGCTGAGTACACTGAGGTTAAGGGGAATTCAATCGATGAGGTGGCAAGTTACATCGCGGTAGAGATGTCTAGGGATACGTGTTGCACATACTGAGTCACCGCCTTTCCAGTCGAGTAATGTTATGTAACTTAGGTTTAGGTTGGGAATGAGGAAAGGGGATTAGCTTGACCAATATGCTATCTAAAGTTTTAGGCTCAATAATAATGCGTAGACTAAGCGGTTCACGGGAGGTACAAACACGAGAGAATCAGGCAGGCTTTAGACCACCCTTCGACAGATCCTGGAACATAGGCATACTTAGCGGCGTCCAACAATTGTTAATTTCTTGACCTAAAGGCGGCATTCGATTCTGTCGACCGAGAGTGTACTATGGCGATGCTTGGCTGTGAAGGGAATGCCGAGAAAATGCATTGCACTGATCAAGGCACTCTACTCGAACTCATGCAGTTAGCCAGGTGAGAGCTTACGGCGAGTTGTCATCTGAACTGGTGACAACTAGTGGTCTCCGTCAGGGATACCCACTATCATCATTTCTATTTAATTTCATCATACATGTACTAATGGACTTAACCCTAACTGACTTCAGTGACTCAGGAATCGCTTTGTTACCATCAGGGAATAATCTCGTTGGCTTAGAATATGCAGATGATATAGTCTTCCCCCCTAGGTGAAGACGCTGACAAAATAGAGCAGAGTCTTCTAAACACCTTGAGCTGCAATCTGCGAATGTTTAGCATGGGATTCGCTCCTGCTGTCAAATATAAGATGATACTACAGGAATGGACTACATTGACTCACTCCTAGCTTAGAAATAGGGAGTGAAGTGGTTGGTGGAGCTTGTTGACCACTTCACATATTTGGGAAGTTGCACCAACCAACGCCAGTAGGTTGATCGCTGAAGAAATCTCGGCATGGATACAGAAGGCTAGTTTCGCATATGACAGTTAACGCCATCTCTAGCTTAGTAGACGTGATATCCGGCTATCGACCAATGGGCGCGTGTACTGCTCAGCAGTCCGCTCCGTCCTCCTTTATGGCTGTGAGATGTGGCCATTGAGAGTGGAAGACATGAAAAGGTAGCTAGCTGTCTTTGATCATAGGTGCCTGCGTTCTATCTCATGAATTTGATGTAAGAGATAATGGAAAAGTTATATACATATATATATATACATATATATATGTATATATATATATACATATATATATGTATATATATATATATATATATATAATGGCATGATAGGGTGAGCAATATTGAGGTTAGGCGCCGAGTGCTAGATGAGAAGGGCAAATCAACAGACGATGCTGGGAAGTTACATCGATTGAGATGGTTGGGACATGTGTTTCTTACACATGCCTAGCCATCGCCTCCTTTGGTGGCCAATGTTAGCTAACTTGCAGAGGTTGGAAAAGAGCCAGTGGTGGTCAAGCCAAAACATGACTTCATTAGTCCATGAAATCCACAACAGTTAGTTTAAGCCAGTCACGTAGGGAGTTGTAGACTTCCTGACAGGTTGGGATCCTCGGGACGGTAAAATCTAATGCAGGCTGGATACAATCGGTGATATGCCTCAAAATCGTTCTCCATGGCTGGCGCAGTTGGAAGCATCCAATCCTTGTGACTTATGATTTCCAATAAAACTATATTGTTCTTTGTTATTACTATTCCTTTTGCTTCATATCGCTGTCTACTGTCTCTATTATGCATTTCTTTTCTTGCTTTGTGTGCTACATGGAGTGTAGTGGCTTGAACTGCTGCACATCAGTGCAAAGTTCTATGTTGAAAACAGGCAGACAGAGGAAATGGTTGATGATTCAGGGCACCGTTAAACCTCGCTTAGCCGATATTAAGTTCAGTAAAGAGGTGAGTTTGGGAGTAAAACTAGCCCCCCAACTCACCCCGTAAACACCACTGCTACTGAAACTTCAAAACTCAAGGTGGAAGCCCCCTGTGTTCCACTGGGTACGCAAAGGAATAAAATAATAATATGAACAAATCACATACAGACTGTCAATATAAAAGAAAAAACTTTTTGGTGCAGTTGTGTTCTCTGACCTAGCTGGATGGTTTATTTGCGAAGCTTTCATTATTGCCCTACTACTAGGCAACATCTTCAGCGCATACACTTCAATCTGAAGGAAGTGAGCTTTTAGATTTCTCCACGAGTTTATTAGTCATCTCTCCTGGTGACCACCTTGAAACTTGACTCTTTGGTTGTCTTTGTGCGTTTCCACACCCTCTAGGCTGCTACTTGTATTGGCATTGGTGTTGATCTGCACTTTGATCCTTTGCGTATGAGATTTCCTCCTACTCGATTGGTAAACTTTGTCTATCTCGATGTATCTATTAATTGACGATTCACTGGAATACCAGGCTTCTAAATATTCTCTAGCATTCTTGATGTTTCCTCTGTCTAATATTTGAATGTAAACTAGCAATCAAAAGACATGACATCCACTCCCTCCCTGATATCGCTGCACACAGACAACCATGGACATCAATTCGACTGGGATAACCGTACTGACTCTCTTAGGTGCTGAATTCATATTTTTCTCAATGAATTTATCCGGATAACCATTTTCTCCAAGTAATTCTCTAATAATCTTAAGCTCCCCATTGAGGCAGTTGTCCTGAACAGATTAACCTAGCTCTATGAACCAGACACTTTACCAGGTTACGTTTTATATCGCAAAGGTACAAACTCAAAAATGAGTTTACTGACCTGTTGTTGTAGGTTTCCTATACACACTCCTTCTTAGTGTGCCATCTTCCTTTTCTTGTCAGGAAGACGTCTAGGAATGAGATACTGTCATTACTTTCTTTCTCTCTATGGTAAAGTTTATTGCTGAATGTGCATCATTAAACTTGTCAAGGATATTCATTGCATCATTCTCGTCTTTCATAACCAGAAATGTATCATCCATATATCGACAGTAGAAATCCAAGTCATTAATTACTCCTTTCAGTGGTCCATTCTCTAACTTAGCGAGGAAACAATCAGCTAGAATTGGAACCTAATGGGGAAACCCATAGCTACACCATCAGTTTTGTCTGTAATATTCCTTATTGAATAAGAAATGAACACTCATTGTACATCTTAAAAATAAGTTCCTTTCAAGAAGGATACAGAAATGCCGATTTCCATGTTTCGGCTCAGTAATTCTCATCACATATACAATCCACTGTCTCCATTAACCGTACATTGGTGAACAGGGAGGATACATCAAAAGATATCATAAACTTGTCCCCTCACATTAATATCTCTTATTTTTTTCAACAAATTCAAAAACTATCGTTTACGCTATGTTCTACCAATTCGTTATGCAGAGGTTTTCAAGAGCTTCACTAACCATTTTGCAGTTGTGTCATATGGGGAATTACACATGTCCCAACACTGGTCGAAGTGGCAAAACCAATTTTTAATACACTTTTTGCTAGTCCATATTATCTTGGTGTAAACCGTACCAGTAGGCTTTAGAGATTTATATAAACCTTTCTATGATGCCAAGATGTTGTTTTAAGTCTTTTTTTTAGTGATTCAATTAGTGTTGTTTTCTCCACTTTTTTTTCTCTTGGATCAACGGAGAAGGTCAGTCGCAAAGGTTTTCCCCCAACAAGCTGGATAGGCGATTTTCTCAATGTTTTCTGTCCTCACCCCGCTTATGAAAATTTCTAAACTCTTATTACCCTTTGTTGCTAACTTGACTCTAGTTCAAATTTTTTTTTTTACCTAATTACGTGATTTTTTTATCTAAATATTGCCAATTCTAACGATTCATCTAAGTGCATCGATGGCACATTGGTTAGGACGCTCGCCAGCTATGCACATGGTCCAGGGTTTGATTCCCCCGGCCCACCGACGCCCACCACACTCCTTTATCTCGCTTAGCCAGTAATAGAACTGGCAATGAGGAAAGGTTCGCGGGCATGAGACTAGCAACCCAATCCTGTAAAAAATAATTACCACTGCTACAGAAAACTTCAAGCCTCTAGTTTGAAGCCCCCCTATGTTTCACTGGGAAACGTGAAGGAATTAAAAAAAAGTGCCCACATCTATGGTAATATTCCTTTTTGTTGCTAAGAGAATCTACTACTATATATACGAGTGTACAGCTTGAGAATGATATCACCTAAAAGGGGGAGTAAACTCTGCTTCATTGAGGGGGAAATCGAGTAAAGCAAAATTACTACCGTTTCAAGAATTAAACAACTGAAAAACAACGCACTCCAGTGGTTCGAGTAATTTTGGTCGACATGGTAAAACTTTATTTGATAATTCAACCTTTCAAATCAATACATAAGTAGTATGTGAGAGGACTATGATAGAAGAGTAAACGTAGGGAAAAGCATTTTCCAGAAAAAAAGTAACCTCTCTACATTGGGTTGTCAAATGGCTGCATTCTTATTTCTCAGGAAGAAAAGCAGTACACTGTATGTTAGAGAAAAATTGTCCCACTTCGTTGCTTACTGAGGCTGGTGTCCCCTCACGGCGCTGTCCTTTCTCCTTTTCTGTTTTTCTTTCCTCTTGCATGACTTGCCTCACTCTGATGACGAAATGAAACTTTTGTTAAGTATGCCCGATGATCTAACAATTTCAATGTCTGTTAACTCCCAGCTAGACTGTATTAAGATGAACAGCTTTCTATCAGGAGTTAGCAAAATGGTCTTAAACTGAATCCTTCCAAAATGTTAGACTG